GCATCTGTCAAAAGCTCTCCCTAGCAGAGTCAAGCCTGTGTTTTACCTGGCCAGAAAGACTGAGTGCCTGCTATGCCTCTCCTTATTAACCTGCCGGGATTTGTGATTCATCTTAGAAGCTCTGCCCTAACAACCTGAGCCAGCCTGTTTACTTCTCAGAGGTCCAGGCTCTGGTCACCACATTTGCGTTAAGTGTCCTCCCTCTGTGCCATTAGCATGAGGCTTCAGGGACCCAGTTCCTTAGACACCTAGGCCTTAAAAGATGCTCAGGCTGATACCCTATTCCTGGCGTGACTTTTGTCCTGGAGCAATGTTTGCTGTATTGAAAGAGTCCCTGGAAAAATGCCTTCTCCTATAGGATGTTCCCAGAAGTTTATTCTTGTGCGAGCCAAGACTGTGAAGTGAACTCTGTGGTTGAGTCCATGAGGAGAATTGCCAAGGAAAATTGTCTGTCTGTGAGTGCCTTGCTTTTCAGAGTTAGAAATTGAAATGCGTAGCCTCTCTTATTTAGAATGGGCATGGCGTGTGGCAGCTGTGCATTTGTTTAAATCAAAGACGCTTCTAAAACTACAAGAGTGCTTCTCTGCCTACAGTCTTAAATTACTATTAATTATGATGTAATATAATAGATAATTATAGTGTCTTCATATGGGTGCCCGTGGACTTGCTAGCCTTTCCAAATGGCTATTGTTGGTTAATTATCTTCAGGGGATTGTGCCGATAGCCAGTATGGTTCCAGAAATACCTCAGAACCCACGGTGCAGCCTTTCACGAAGCTTCTGTTCTCAAATACACTCTTGTCTGAAGTGCCTCATTTTGATTATGTTTTTTTAATTCAAGTCACTCAGTTGCTTTTAGAATCTGCATAGCAAAAAAAATAGCAGTGCTGAAAATAAAAAGAATAAAGGCTAGCTCTTCATAAAGAGACATTTCATAACATTGTAGTTAGAGAAAGACGAGTTAGGCATTTGGGGAGTCGGTTTTATTCATTAGAATTTTTCACTGGAGATGTTTTTATGTAGCCTCATTGTTTTTGTTTTAATTAATATTTCTATGGTGGGGAGATAATTAGGTAAATGCTGTTGAATATTAAATATGGTAGTGGCTTAGAGGAAAATAAGCATTTCTGGGTCAAAGCCCTTAAGAAAATATTGTCATCTGTGAGCTGATTAATTGAATGGAGTGCCAAATGGGTTTGTCGCCATCCAACCAGACACTCCAAGTGACTCAGTTCATTATCTGAGGTTGTTCTGGAATGAAGTGACTGGCTGTGTCAAAGTTAATGGTGTTCTTTTTAATCTCAGCTACTAATGAAGTAAGTCTTGATTAGAGAAATAGTCCCAACCTCATTAAGTGCAGCTAAGTGTGAGGACCTCCCGGAGAATCTGGATCTGTATGCCACACTCAACATTTTCTTTTCTTTTCTTTTTTTCTTTTTTAAAGGTTTATTTTATTTTTATTAGAAAGTCGGTTATGCAGAGAGGAGGAAAGACAGAGAGGAAGATCTTCTGTCCATTGATTTACTCCCCAAGTGGCCACAATGGCCAGAGCTGAGCTGATCCGAAGCCAGGAGCTTTTTTCTAGGTCTCCCACATGGGTGCAGGGTGCCAAGGCCTTGGGGTGTCCTTGACTGCTTTTCCAGGCCACAAGCAAGAAGCTGGATGGGAAGCAGGGCTGCCAGGATTAGAACTGGTGCCCATATGGGAGCCTGCCACCTGCAAGGCGAGGACTTAGCCACTAGGCCACCACACAGGGTCCAACACGCAACATTTTCAATGCAGAGCGTTTGAACTGCCCAGGGCTGGTCCCAGAGGCTTCTGTACCTGTGTGTCCCAGTGGGTTCTGTGTGTCAGAGGCTTTTGGAGACCCTCAAATCCACTCCCAGCCTCACTGCCTGCTGCACTTGTCACTGAATGGAGAACGATTGCATGCTCATCTCCAAGCAGACCAGCGAGCTGGTGGTGTTTTCACCTGCCGCCTTTAACATAGAGTGCTTTACCACTGCTCAGCGACATCCCGCACTGATAGTTCCCCGAGACACCCTGGAGTCTCAGACCCGCACAGGGTTGGCTTTCATTTCAACTGGCTTCATAACCATCGTGAAGGGCACACATGTAACAAATTGTTCATTAATGTGACCAGTGATTACGAATGATCCAGGTAGACGAGTGGGGAGCAGGTGTTTTTGTGCACGTGTTAAAAGTTTCCAGAAGCATGGACTCCAGTAGGCTGTGCTTCTGAGACTGTAGGCTGTGCCTGTCCACCCATGGGACATTGACTGATCAGACAGCACCACAGCTTTGTTTTGCTAGATTCAGCATGATCATTTGTGTTTGGAGACCTGCCGTTGTCATTCAGTAAGAATGAGTTAGACCAGCGCTGGCTGATGTGTTACTGTGCAATGCAACATTAGAAATGTGGACGTACTTTACGTTTTAGGGGCCATCTGTTCAATGTATTATTTTATAACTAATGCTACTGCTTATCACAAATGAGTCTTTACATAGTCTTTCATGAAGTTTTTTATTTAATGTTCTTAAATATTTATTTTGATTTGATATATTTGGAAATCAGAGTGACAGAATTTTCCATACTCTGTTCACTCGCCAAATGACCACAAAGGGCAAGTTTGGCCCAGTGACTCCATCTTCTGGGCAGCAGGGAGTCTGTACTTGAGCCACAGTCTGCTGCCTCTCGGGCACATTAGCAGGAAGCTGGGTTTGAGGCAGAGACAGGTGCAAAGGCTGGGTTGGTCCCAAGCACCAGATAGAGAATCCAGTCCCCAAATGGAGACTTGATCCTCTCGGCCACAGTGGCTGCCTCGATCATGATTTTCTTTAATCCTTTGGGAGACTTTAATAACGCTTCTGATGCATTTTAAATGGGCACAACTGGAAACTATAATGCTAAGGGAAATGAGTGAATCCCAAAAGGTTAGATACCACATGTTTGCCTTGATTTAACCTGTAATTTTTTGTTTGGTTGTTTGTTATTTTTTGAACCTGTCATTGATACTGTCTCAACCCAGATGTTTCGAAGAAGGGAACTTGCATTATTTTTAACATATTGTTTACCCAATACTATGTCAATTAATTCCATAATGTTGTATATTGATACTGAGGCCTTGTTGGGGCTTTTAACTGACCGGATCTTTACTCTGTTAGACCTATCTTCAGACCATAGAAGGTCTCCCCAAGAGGCCACTGGACTTATCTGGACAATAAGACACTGAACTTTATGCTAGGCATGTGTTTGCAAGCAATGAATCTCAACTGAACTTGAACTATGGTTATGCAACAAGGTGGAGGAATCCACCATGGGGGGAGGGGTATGGGAGGGGTGGGGGGAATCCCCAGCGCCTATAAAACTGCACTACATAATACAATGTAAGCAACAATAAAAAAAAAAAAGAGTTTAAAAAAAAATATGGAGGGGGGCACTGTGGCATACCAGCTAAGATTGCTTAGTTTACTCACAACCTGTGTCATAGTAGCTGAGTTCAAGTGCCCCACTCCACTTCCTGTCCTGCTCCCTACTAAGGCACACTGTGGGAGGCAGGAGGTTATGGATCAAGTACACGGGTTTCTGTCATTCATGCTGGAGATCCACAATGAGCTGTGAGTTCCTGGTTTTGAGCTGGCCCAACTCTACTTATCACAGCATTTGGAGAGTGAACCAGTGGGCTGGTATATGTGTGTGTGTGTCTACCTTTCCAAAAAAAAAAATAGAATTACATTTGCCATGATGCAGATCAGGGTTATCATGAAAATCTGTCACCAAACAGAAATAAAGCCTGCAACTTCAGCTGTGTCTCCTGTCTGGTGCCAGGGAAACACGAGCACTTGAGACACCAGGACACCACAGCGCCCACCTGCCAGTCTCTACCCTGTGACTTTGCTGCATTCTATACATCATATTTTCTGTGATTTTTGGAAAATTCTATTGGAAGCCAAGGTTTGCCGGTTTAGCAATTCCCTGGAAGGTATTGGAGGGACTTTTGCAAGAACACGCACAGCAAGGAGATGGTACAAAGTACAGCCTCTCTTTGTGGGTAGGAAAAGGGCATTGGGAGGAAGTGTGTTGTGATGCGTTGTCCTTGCTCTCTGCTGTTGCCATGCTCAGCTCAGCCTGTTCCCCACAGTGAGAATGTCACATGTCACCTTCCTAGCTTCTCACAGAGGCTTCTGAGAGGGAGGGACATACCCTCAGACCACGTCGTAGCCTCCGGGTGTTATTTTCCTTTGCTCTTGCCCTTGACTTAAGTAGTTGCCTTTGGAAAGCCGTAATATACTGGAATGTGAACTTTGTTTTCTGTAAAGATTGAAGGATGGAATCATAAGTTGAGTGTTTTTTTAAAAAGGCATTATGGGCCCAGCAGAGTGGCCTAGTGACTGGAATCGTCACTTTGCATAAGCCAGGATCCCATATGGGCACTACTTCTAATCCCTGTGACCCTGCTTCGCATCCAGCTCCCTGCCTGGGGCCTGAAGAAGCAATTAAGGACAGCCCGAAGCCTTGGGATCCTGCACCCATGGAGGAGGTTCTTGGCTTCTGGCTTTGGATTGGCTGAGCTCCGACCATTGAGACCACTTAGAGAGTGAATTAATGGATGGAAGATCTTCCTGTCTGTCTCTCCTCCTCTCTGTATATATGATTTATCAATAAAAATAAAAAGAAATCTTTAAAAAAAGACATTACTCTCTAGTCTTTCATAACATTATGCACAAATATAAATGATACTTTTAGAGTAGGAGCAAGATAATAAGTGCTTTGAGAAACTTGCAAGAAGAAAAATCTCATTGCTTAAGTCATTGTATGTCAGTTTTTCAAATCAATAGCATGTTTCCACCAGTAACATATTTGGTGGCTGAAATTGTCCTGTTCCAGCCCCTCCCGCTCCCACCATCCTGTGTGACACTGCTGCCATGCAGTGCCCTGGGGAGCAGCTGCCCTGCCCACCGTGCCCTTTCTGACCTTGTATTTGCTTTCTCCTTCTGCAGAAACCCTGCTCGATGACTTCCTTCTCACCTACACTGTCTTCATGACGACCGACGACTTGTGCCAGGCGCTGCTCAGGCAATATCCTTCACGAACCTAAGGGTATTGCCCACCTGCCAGGCCGATCCCCACCATCAGGCGTTAACCACCCTTTCCTCATGGATTCAACCCCTCAGTAGAGTGGAGCTGTATTAAATATTAACACAGTGATGTCCAAGACAGAACTTGGTCATGATGGTGACTGCTGTCCTCCCCTCCTGTGCTGCGGAGGAACTGACCTGCTCATGTGATCAACCTCCCTATGGCTGAGAAATCTGGAGGCCCCTATCAGGTTGACTCTGGGCTCCAGACCCAGGCCCGGTGAGGTGGCGGGCATCCTCACGTAAGTGGCTAGGCTCAGTCAATGGGAGTCCAACCAGTGGTTCAGTGTCCCTCAGAGGTGACAGCTCCCACCTTCCCCCATTCCTCCACCAGGGAGGTCTGACCAAGTCACGAGAGCCACCTTTATGTTTTCATTGCTCTGTCACTGGAAGCTCTTAGAATGATGGATGTGTTAGGAGGTTAATGACCGCTTAAGAAAGCCTTATAATTGTATCCGCTCATTGGAAGAGATGCAGCACAGACCATTGGAAAGGCCAGAAGCAAAACCCTGGTAAACTTCAGGGAGTCTCCAAGTGAGCCTCTTGCTTCGTGGTGTTTTAGGATGGTGTTTTAGAAACATTTGGAGAGCCTGTTCTCTGCCATGCTTTTATTAAACCAAAGATGCTACTGGGCTCACAGGAATCAGAAAATGGCTTGCGCTTTGTGTGCCCTGAAGTTCTAAGACCTGATTATCATTACTGTATGTCTCCCCATTTCACAGTCCCCATTCCCCCAGTAAAGCAGTAAGTAAAAACACCAGAAAGGGGAAAAAGTAAAATCTCTCTTAGAAATCTGCAGATGGAAATGGTGTTTACTTTTTAGTGCTTTACTGTTATTCTGTGACCAAAGTGGGTGACCAGTGGGTGTTTTGAAACTTTATTAGTTTTGATTTTGGAACATTTCTGTAATGTACTCAGATTTTTTTTTTGTAGCGTCCTAGTGTAATGCTACTAAGAACATTAACAAATAATTAGCAAGTTAAGTTTCTGCTTTTTCAAGAGTGTTTTGGAATGAATATCTTTGAGCTAATTTCCCTTTTTATTGCCAGCATATTTCTAAACCAAGTATTCCTAGGCAGCATAAATTGTGCTTTGATACAAATCCAGTATCTTCTGTTACGTTTATGATCCTAATATTGTTTGTGATTACCGTTTACTAATTGAGTGTCTCCTAGAATGTTCCTAAATATTCTATCTTGTGACAGAGATTTGTTTCTTTGAAAGGCAGATCAACAGAGAGAGTAAGAGTGACAGAGAGAGGAAGAGAGCTCTCCACCCACTGGTTCACCTCCCAAATGGCCGCAGCAACCAGGAACTCCACTACCACATGGGTGGCAGCACACTTGGGCCATGTGCTGCCTCCTTCCCAGACACAATAGCAGGGAGCTGGATCAGAAGCTGAGCAGCTGGGACTCAGCCACACAAGCCAGTGAGAGCTTAACCTGCTGCACCACAAAGCCTGTCCTCGTCACTGAGACTTTGCTAGCATAGTAAATATTACTCAAATATGATATATTTCAGTCTTTGACTTAGTCATTTGTATATTTGTGTATAATTGGAGGGGCAGAAGAAGATTTCCATGTACCATGCAATCCCCCAAATTTCTGCAATCCCTGGGATTGGCCAGCCTGAAGCCAAGACCCTACAGCTTAGTCCAGGCCTCCTATGTGTGCAACAAGGACCCACCTACTGTAGTACAAAGACTACTACTGTACTTCTAGCATAGAGATTTGCACATCGGTTCCTTCCTTCTAGAATTTCTGCGCTCATTTGGAGCTTCTTTAGAAGTAACTGGTTTTACAGAGAGTAAGGTTTTGAGGAGGAGTGAGAGTGGCCTAGTTCTGGCCTAACTTTTACAGAAATAGCACTCATCTAGCTAGTGAGACCAGATCCCCTTTGGGAGCCATGCTTGGTATTCATGGACCCCCCTGGCCAGCTCTCTGAACCCTCTTAATGCCATGCTGCCTGTGGGGCCTTCTCGGAGGCTGACAGTGGGGTCGGTGGTCTAATTCTGACTTCAGTTATTATCCAGATTCACTCTTGTTCTTTCCCTGCTGTCTACCTGTAGCTGACCTTTTAGCCAGAAGTAAATGGGGCTGTCCATATCTTTGCTCTCCAACAATGTCACATTCTTTCTTAACCACTTGCCACCTATTCTGCTAAGAAGTATCAAGGCAAGGAGGAGAACTCGGATGTTCCTTGTCAGAAACGTAAGGTCCTGCATCTTGTCTCCCAGTGGATTGCACTATACAAAGACTGGCTGCATGAGGACGAACATTCAAAAATGTTTTTGAAGGTAATCTAATGCTTCTAGGTATTCCCTGATACACAATAATTGATGTTGTTTCCAGAGCTGTGGCTG